GTATTCCATTGTGCGAATATACCACAGCTTCTCTAGCCATTCGTTTGTTGATGGGCACTTAGGTTGTTTCCAACTCCTTGCTATTGTGAACATGAGGAGCCTCTTGTCTGAGATGTTAGTGCCAAATGTTTGTTCCCAGTCAGTAGGTTTTCTTGTCACCCTGTAGGAAAAAGTTTTTGATGCACACAGGAATTTAATCTTTAGAAGGTCTCATTCATCAATTTTATCCTCTTCAGATTGTGTATTTCTGCATTTTAATTTGTCCCCAGGTCAGCTTTTCAACTGGTCTACAAATGTGAACCTTGCACTTTCCCTCTGGGCAAACTGAACAAACTCTAGTACCTTCCTTCAATGCTTCCTATCACAAATACTATTAAGGAAAGGATCCTTTCAAGAGCTAAAGTTTTTATAAAAGTAATTTCTTTCTCTGCCTCTGGAAACAAGCCAGGTGAGCAAGCCAATATAGAGCAGGAATGGGGCCCTGGCTGGGAAAACCACCCTTTCCTAGCTGTTTTCCTCTGAGCCAGACAAAGGGATGTCCAATTTTAAGTGATTTATCAAAAGAGACAGACTACAAAACTCTGTTTTTAGAGATGACCTTTTCCTAGGAGCTCTAGACATTTTGGTTACAAGGAACTTTTCCAGAGGTGGTTTCCTGAGGCAGAATATATCCTCACTTGGACAAAGAGATGGCAGCAGGGTCTCAAGAGTCCCTTCTCAGGTCCTGGCCCCTACCTGAGAAGTTTGCCAAAGTGTGCATCTATAGTAAACACCCTGACCCAGAGGTAGATGTAGCCTAGATCTGAATTAGCCAAGGAATTAGATGTCTCCAAATTACATCACTTAAAAGAATAAGGTGCACCCAATTCAGGTAATCATCTTTTCAATCATTTGCTATTTATGTGAACTTAACAAAGAATAAGGATGGCACAGAATAATCAAGCTGTAGTGTTGGAAAAGAGTACCGACTGTCCCATGGACTGGAAGAACAACAAACAGGTATGTCTTGGAGAAAATACAGAGTACTCCTCAGTTGTAAGGATGGCAAAGCTTTATCTCACATACTTTGGGCATGTTGCTATGAGAGAGGCCTTGGGAGGGACAGCAATGTTTGGGAAGGTGGAGGGTCAGGGCAAGTGGGGAAGGCCCTCAAGGAGATTGGCAACAATGTGTTCAAGTATGTCAGAGATGATGTGGGTGGGACAAGATTGGTCAGGGTTAGGATCTGTTGTTCACAGGGTTGCTAAGAGTCACAACAAAGTTTTGCTGGTGGAGTAGGCTATGATGCATCGGATGGGCTGTGGTTGGTAGGGTGGAGAGGAAAGGGAACTGCATACAAATTTTTCCCGAGTAGTAAGACGTGTATTTTTTCATTGCAGTGCCTAGCGCAGCCCTGGGAAGGAAGCTCATGCAACAACGTAGTGGTTCCAGTTCCACAGGCCAAGAAATCCAGGGCAGTTTCACATGCGCAGGCGCAGGAGCTTGGAGGCGGCACCACCGTTACCCCGAATCAATGCGCAGGCGCAGCAGTAGCGCGGCGCCTGCCCTCCGGCGCGCATGCTCCACTGGCCTTGGGGCTCTGTCCTAGAGTCGGAGGTGGAGGCAGTTCTTGAGACCTCCATCCGGTAGGAGCCAGAATACCAAGGGCAACTTCTTCAGGACACTTAGTGGGCCTCGTTCTAGCTGCCTGCCGGCTGCATCATGGGGTTACCCAGAAGGCCGGAAGGCCAAGGTTTCCCTGAGGTAAGGACCCACCGGCCCCCTGGAATTTGTTGGGAGAGGACCAAGCTCCAGGGACCGAGGCCAAGAGGGAGCCCTAGGCTGCGTTTCCGGGTGTCCTGCCCCACTCCCCAGGTCTACGGTAGCAATGGGAGGCGGGGAGCGGGTGGTTAGACATACACTACTGGGGCGTAGGTGACTTGACTCAGGCGTATGTCTCTCAAGGCTCCCCTCTTCCAGCTCTCTGGTAAAGTCTTCCACTGACCCCAGCCCTGCTTTTGTCTCCCTGGGTGGAGGATGCAGCTAGGCGGACTCCCAGGTGCACACTTAGGCAGTTCAGGGGTGGCATGTAGAAGGCCGTGCGTGAAGCCGAGGTGCCTTCTCTGCTCTCCTCTTAGCCTGTGGTCTGTAGGGAGTGAATGCTGCATTTATCGCCACTGCTCCGACAGCGGAGTCAGTGTGGGTGTGCCTTTGAGACTGAAGATCAGGTGGTCACTTCAGAACATCGTGAGGCTTTTCAGATGTATAGGTTAAGAGCTACTCACCTGTTCCTGGAAGATTGAGTACTTTGTTGTTTTCGGATTTCCAAGTTGGTTAGGTTTGCGTTTCCTTATATGACTGCAATGTCTGTTCAGACAAGTTGCATCTGTTCTCCCTTTAAATTAAATTAGTTTGCTCACAATCTTGAGAGAAATGGGATCCAGGTTACGCCTTTACTCTCCAAAGAATATGATGCATATCCTTGGCCTGGCTGATTCCTTGACAGAGTGAATAATAGTTCCCTTAATGGTGTCTGACTTGCTTCTCTGTCTCTTCTCAAATCTTCGGACCATCCATAAGTAGAATGAGTTATTCATGGTGACTGCACAGTATGTCAGAGTAGATCTGTGTTTTCACAAGTACATATTTTCAGTAGCAGATTTAGTTGTCTAACGTCATTCACAGGGCCTTTCTTTCCAAGTGCATCTAGATGGGCTCACCCTTTAATTTCTTGGTTAACAGCAAAGCATCACCCAATGACTCCATCTCTCTAATACCTACAGGTTAAGGATTGTCTTGTGTGCAATAGCTCATAGTTGAGTGATGAAAATACAGACCTGTCTCAGTTTGTGATTCTGGGTTTTTTTTTCTCCTTTCCCTTCCTTATGATTCTGTTTTGATTACAAATCCTATTTGTTAATGAAATCTAACAAATATAATATTGCCAAAATAACCTGCATTAGGTAAAATCTTAACATGCACTTAGTCTTCCTGGGATCTAGATATCTGAAAGGGATCAATATTTAAAGTTCTTTTTTTGTTACTTATTTATTCTAGTCCTCATTAAGTTTTTGCCTTATTTTTTTTTACTTAGTCTCCTGTCTAATCTCCAAAGTTCTACCTTAAATCCTTCCACTACAGCTTTCCACATTGGTTGTTAGGTACCCCTGAGTCAACTGTGACTCATACCCACACTGTGAATAACAAACCTAGCCCTCTCTCACTCCAACCTTATGATCTCTGTCATGGTTTCACTCCCATTATTTTATTCACTGTGTTGATCACTCTAGTTGAGAATCATCTTTCACTGACCCTACACCTTTCCCAGCATTGATGTCTTTTTCCAAGGATTGACTTTTCCTAATAACATGCCCAGAGTATGTGAGTGAAGATTCACAATCTTGTCTCTAGCAGGCACCCTGGTGCTCTTCCAGATTTGAAGCAAGACTAGCCATCTATTTCAGAAGTAACAGGTCTTTGAAATCCTGTGAGTAACATAAGAACATGGTGTCACTAACTAAGGTCTCTCAAAATAAACAGGAGTTTGTTCCTGCCTTTCTGTTTAATCTGTCACTATGAGGAGGCCGATTGTCTGATTTGTGACTTTTCCCAGAGCCCAAGATACTTTCTAGCAATTAGGAGATACTTAGAATGAATATAATTTATCATTTAGTTCAAAGACTAGAGCATATGAATGTTTATCATTAAGCTGTCACTTAACCATTTAATTAATTAAAGTAAAACTTTTATTCCTCTATGTAAATGGGGAAAAGATTGATGTTGGTAGTAATTTCATTTGAATTGTAGTGCTGTATGTAAAAGAGCACTAAATATTTCACAGATTGCAAAAAGAACAAAAATGTTTTAAAGTTCAACGAGGGTCCTCCTTTCTTTAGGCATGTTGTTAGGAGGTTCCAGACTGGAAAAAGACATCATGCTTGGAAAAATGGAGGGTCAGAGAGAGAGAAGACCCTCAACAAGATTGATAGACACAATGACTATAACAATGGGCTGGTGTATATTAGAAATGAAGATGGCACAGACTGGGGTAAGGTTCAACTCTGTTCACAGGGATACTATGATTCATAGTAGACCATATGATACCTAACAACATACTCTTTTCTTTTTCTGTTGTTAAATGTCATCGAGTTGTAGACAACTCATAGTGATCCTGTGAACAAAAGACCTGAACATTTGTATGACTTTGATTGTTTCTTCTAGTTCATAGAGTTTCTGGAGGCAAGCTATTTCAGAAGTGGATGCCACTCTTTCTTCCACACTTGTTTTAAACAGAGAGCTCCACCAAACACTGTCCACCACGTGTAACCATTATTTCATTTGACACATCAGTGTCATGGTGTTTAACATCATGGTAACTATGAATACAGCAAATGGACAGACCAGGGCTATACCACTTAGAAGAATGTTTGACCAAAACCGATTTAAACCAGACCTGAGGGCTGCAGATAACTGTCCTTTGTACATAGGACAGATAACTGTCTTTGCATCTCTACATGTTTCTCAGCTACCTCAGATCTCTCACATAAGAGAAGTATGAATCACTTATTCTGCAGGTTTTCTAGGAAGAAGTAGTTGCTAATAGGCAAGGCCAGTAAAGTGAGAATTAAGAAAGAATGTCTAAAGGCTGACATTTCTTCTCTATCCCAAAGGATTATTTGTTCATTTCATTATATCCATGTTGCCCATGACTCGTAGTGACCCTATGTACAACAGCCCTAAACCCTGCTCTATCCTGCGCTAATCTTACTGTCTCTGACACACCTACCCCTATTACTACAATCACTGAAACAATCCATCTCATCAAGGGTCTTCCTCTCTCATGCTGTCCCTCTACCCTCCCAAGCATGAAGTTCCTCTCCAAGGACTGGTCTCTCCTTGCAACATGTCCAAAGTAGGTCAGACGAAGCTTCAGAATCCTTGCCTTCAAGGAGCAGCCTGGTTTCACTCTTTCTAGGTTGAACCTGTTTGTTCTCCTAGCAATCCATGGTATATTTAGTACTTTTTCCCAGCCACAGCTCAAAGGTATCAATTCTTCTATCTCTCCTAGTCATTGTTCAGCTTTCTGATGCATAACAAGTAATTGCAAAGACTGTTGCCTGTATCAGGCACACTTTAGTCTCCAGACTGACATCGTTGCCCTCCAGTACTTTGGAGAGATCTCTGATAGCATACTTTCCCTGTGCAATTCGTCTTTTAATTTTTTGGTTGCTGGTACCAGAAGTGTTGATTGTGGATCCAAGCAAACTAAAGCTGTTAACAATCTCTGTTAACAATTTCAGTCATCTATCATCTATCATGATGCTTCCAGTTGGCCCAGCAGTGGTAATCTTTGTTGTCTTGAGGTTGAGCTTTAAGCCATATTGAAGGCTGCAGTCCTTGACCTTCTGCAGCAAGTGCTTCAGGTCCTTCTCAGTTTCAGAAAGCAGTGTTGTGTCGTCTGTATAATGCAGATTTTTGATGAGTCTGCCTCCAATCCTGATGCCACATTTCTCCTCATAGAGCCCAGCCTCCCAGATAGTCTGTTCTGCATATAGATTGAAAAAGTTTGGAGATAGAACACATCCGTTGTGTACACTGTTCCCAATTTTGAACCACACACTGTGGACTTGCTCTATTCTAATGACTGCCTCCTGGTCCAAGTATAAGTTTCACATAAGCAAAATCAAGTGCTCTGGGATTCCCATTCTTCTCAGATTTAGCCACAGTTTGTTGTGGCCACACAGTCATGCCTTTCCATAGTCAGTGAAACACAGATAGATATTCCTCTGGTACTCACTGCTTTCAGAGATCCATCTAACATTAGCTATAATATTCCTAGTAATATCCCTCTTCTAAACCCAGCCTGCACTTCTGGCAGTTCTCTGTTGCTGTGCTGTTTTGGTAGTTTTTTGATAATGTTCAGCAGAATCTTGTTTGCATGTGCAAATGTTTTTGTTTGATAATTTCTGCACTCTGTTGAGTCACCTTTTTTTAGAATGGGAGCAAATATGTGTCTTTTCCAGTTAGTTGGCCAGGTGATTCTCCTCTAGATTTCTTGACACAATTTGGTGAGCACATCCAGGGCAGCATCTGTTGAAATATGTCAATTGGTATACCTTCAATTCCTGGGCCCTTGGTTTTTTTGCCAATTTTTTAAAAGCATTTCTAATGAGTATGTTCTTTAGGTAAAGAGGAGTTAAGGACAGGTGTCTAATACAAGAATCCTTTCCTGAACCAGCCAGTAGTTCAGTTAGAAAGTCAAGCATGTGTATCACGTCAGATATGCCATTCAGAAGAGGCTAGTTTTGTGAATGGCATGAACTATTATAAAAGAAAGACATACAAAGGAATAGCCATTTCAGGCTCATTTGTCAAAGAAATGACAAAGGAACTAAAATTCTGTGGCAGTTAAAAAAAGGATAAAGGAGATTGGGGTGAACAATGAAGAAATGGGAATGGACATTGCTTGTCAAAATTGGTCATAGCCAGTCTGGATTGTTTGGAAGGGGGAGACTGTTAGGATATGCATGATTTAGGCAGCCACAAACCTGATGAGCTACCCTTTACTCTATGATAATAAAGGAATCATTAAGACACTCACTGGATGAATGGATGAAACAGTTGTTGTTAGGTATCATCAAGTAGAGTGCAACCCATAGGGACCCTGGTGTTGTTGATTGCCTTCAATTTGAGCACAACTCATAATGATCTTGTGAATAACATATACTATACTAATACTATACCATACTTATACTATACTCTGCCATCCTTATACTTCCTGACACCCTAGAGCCCATTGCGGCGCTTACTGTCAATCTTCTTGGTTGAGAGTCTTCCTCTTCTCTACCAGCCCTCTGCCTTTCCAAGTGTTATGTCCCTCTCCAAAGAATAGCCTCTCATAGTAACATGCCCAAAGCGTGTGAGACAAAGCTTTATCATCTTTGCCTCCAAGGAGCACTCTGGCTGCATTTTCTCCAAGACATACTTGTCTGTTGTTTTGGCAATCAATAGGATATTCAATACTCTTCTCCATCACCAAGCTCAAAGGCATCAAATTCTTCTGTCATCCTTATTCAGTGTCCAGCTCGCAGATGCACAGCAAGTGATTGGAAAGACCATGGCCTGAATCAGACGCACCTTAGTCCTCAAACTGACATGATTGTTCCTCAGTACTTTGGAGAGGTCTCTGACTGCAGACTTTCCTGGTGCAATATATCTCATTTTCAGACTGCTAGTACCAAGGGTAATCATTGACAGGCCAGGTTTTATTGCTACCATTTGTCTCATTCCAAGTAAAAGAGGATCCAATAAGTGTGGAAATTACTGAACAGTATCACTAATAGCACATGCAAGCAAAATTCTTCTGAAGATTATGCAAAAACAGTTGGAACAATATCTCAGTGGAGGACTACTAGAAATATAAGCTGGATTTAGACGAAGTCATGGCACTGGAGACATTATCTCCAACGTCAGATGATTCTTGGCTGAAAGCAGAGAGGACCAGAGGAATGTCTATTTATTTACTTCATTGACTATACAAAGGCATTTGACTGTATGGATCACAACAGGTTGTGGCTAACATTGAGAAGAATATGAATCCCAGAACACCTGATTGTGCTCATGCTAAACCTATACCTGTATTAAGAAGCAGTCATCAAAATAGAGCAAGGAAACACTGTATGGTTCAAAATCAAGAAGGAAGTGTTTCAGGGATGTGTCCTCCATACCTTTTCAATCTATATGTAGAACAGATCATTTGGGAGGCTGGACATTATGAGGAGCTATGTGATGTGAGGTTTGGAGAAAGACTCATCAAAAACCTTCATTATGCAAATGACACAAACTGGCTGAAACTGAAGAGGACCTGAAATGTTTTTTGCAAAAGGTTAAGGAGTGCAGATATATAGATTAAAGCTCAACATCAAGAAGACAAAGATTCTAACCACTGGGCAAATTGGCAGCTTTTTGATAGATGGAGAAAAGATTGAGGTTGTTAACAATTCAGCTTGTTTGACTCCATAATCAATACTCTTGGCATAAACAATCATGATATTAAAAGATGAATTGTGTTTAGGAATGTTGGGGAGGAAGGGAGGGCCTCTGGCCAGGACAGATCGCCTAGCTCCAGATAAATGCAAGCCTCCCAACAGCCTATAATATGGTGTAGAGAAAGCTCTCCTGTGTTTGGCTGTACTGGCTTGAGAAAGCTCGCCACCTGGGAAGATGGATACTACATCTGTTGAGCTGGGAATAGGCTGAGGTTCTCCTATCCAATCCGTATGTCCCACATCTGCAAACCCATCCTATCCTGTCTTCCTGTTTACTTGCTCATATATAAATGTGCTGCAGCCCCCAATAAAGTTCATCTGGATTGACTCTCTGAATGGTTCCTGGAGTGGTGTGTTTCTGTTGTGCTTACTCTCATCAGGGTGTTGCTGTTTGTTGCTGGTGAAGGGACAGTGACAGAATTGCTTTAGGAATATCTGCCTTCAGGGAGCTTTCCAGAATGCTAAAGGGCAACAGTGTCAGTCTGAAGACTTAAGACACACTTGATCCAGGCCATGTTCTTTGCAGTTGCTTGCTATGCATCAGAGAGCTGGATAGTGACTAAGGATGACAGAAGAGTAGGTGAACTGGGTAGTGACTAAGGTTGACAGAAGAATAGGTGTCCTTGAGTTGTGCTGGAGAAGAGTATTGGACTCCTCATTGGACTGCCAAGAACAAAGAAGCTTATCCTGGGGGAGGGTGAATCCAGCTTACTCCTTGGAGGCAAGGATTTGAAGCTGTGTCATACTTTGGGCATGTTGCCAGATGAGACCAGTCCTTGGAGAACGACATCATGCTTGGAAGGGTGGTGGGACAGTGCAAGAGGGGAAGACTCTGGAGGAGATAGATTGACATAGTAACTGGAATAATGAGTGAAGGTGTGTCAGAGACAGTAAGATTGGCTCAGGATAGGACTGTTGAGCATAGCGTTGCTATGAGTCAATCAATTATATGTCACAGAACACAACATTAACAGTGTTCCCATGCTCTGTTTGCAAAATAGCCTCTTGGCTTAACCCTGGGTTTCACATGAGCACAATTAAGTGCTGTGGGATTTTTCTTAGTGTTAACTGTAACTTGTTACATTCCCCACAGTCAGTACCTTACTGAATGAGACAGTAGTTAGGATTTAAAGCAGGATGCCTTAATTTTTTCTTTTTTTTGCAGTAATGCAAAAAAGGAGAGATACATTGAATGAAAAGCAGTAAATCTAAAAGTACTAGGATATAGAAACAGATTAAAGAAGTAAATATCTGTGATGAAGACAAGTAAAAGTTCTGGTGGCTGGCCTACTGGATAGAGTATGTTGCTAACCGGAATGTGGCATCTCTCTAATACTTCAAATCCATCAGCACTCCAATAGAAGAAGATGGACTGTCTCCTCCCTATACAGTTTATAGCCTCTGAAAACCCTTTGGAGGGTCAGTTATGAGTCAGTTCCAGCTTCCTGATGTAATTAACATCTACCTGTGATGCTCTTGTTTGTGACTAAGGCAAAATTGGGAAAACTAGCACAGTGACATAACCAAATCACTTGTTCTGTGAAAGTGAGATTGTGGTACCAGGGCTGCATAAAACACTATATGCCCCATGTTTCCTTATGCAGGATAGCTTTTACCAACAAAACATCTTTTATTTTAGGTGGAAACACGAGAAGATGAAGAGCAGAATATCAAGTTAACTGAAATTCTGGAGCTCTTAGTTGCAGCTGGGTATTTCAGGGCAAGAATTAAAGGTCTGTCACCTTTTGACAAGGTAAGAAGAAATTCTTCTGTTAATTTTTGTTAAGAGTGAATGGTTATCCATAGCATAGAAAGAAAGGAGAGACTGTTATTTCTCCGTTTCACTGTTTCTGTTTCTTCCTAATCGTTAGAATAAATGATTAAATTTCCTATTAGAAGAAAATGAAAATACATTAATAGATACTCTTGGATATCTTTTATATGCATAGAGCTTTAGAAATGCAAAAAAATAAAAGACATAGTTTATCCTTTTCAGGAATTTACAGGTGAAGAGGAAATTTATGCAAAGTCTGAGTTAATAAGAGTTGTTGTTAGGTGCCATTGAGTTGAGTTCAACTCATAGTGACCCTATGAACAAAAGATCTGAACCCTGTTCTATCCTGCACAATCCTGACACTTCCTGACATACAAGAGCCCATTGCACTAGTTATTGTGTCAGTCCTCCTGATTGATGGTCTTCCTCTTCTTCGCTGACCCCCCCATCTTTCCCCTCATCAAGCACCTCCTAGCAACATGTCCAAAGTATGTGAGGAGAAACCTCATCATTCTTGTGTCCAAGAGCAATCTGGATGCACCCTCTCCAAGACATATCTGTTTTTTTCTCTTGGCCGTCCATGGGATGTTCAGTGCTCTTCTCCAGAGCCACAGCTCAAAGGTGTCAGTTATTCATTGTCATCTTTATTCATTGTCCAGCTCTCAGATGCATAGCAAGTAATTGGAAAAAACATGACCTGAATCAGACTTAGTCTTCAAACTGACATCATTACTCCTCAGTAATTTGGAGAGATCCCTTACTGCAGATTTTTGCGTTGCAATGACTCTTTTTCATTCCTGACTGCTTGTACCAAGGGTGTCAGTTGTGGATCCAAGCAAGATGAAGCTGTTGACAGTTTCAGTCTCCTCTCCCATCCATCATGACACTGCCTATTGGTCCAGTGGTAAGAATCTTTGTTTTCCAGACATTGAGATACAATCCATACTGAAGGCTGCATTCCTTGATCTTCTGCCACAAGTGTTTCAAGTCCTCCTCACTTTCAGCAAACAAAGTTGTGTCATCTACATAACACAGGTTATTGATCAGTCTCCCTCCAGTTCTGATGCTACACGCCTCCCCATACAGTTCAGCTTCTTGGATAATTTGCTCAGCATACAAATTGAATAGGTGTGGAGAGAGAAAACAACCCTGATGCAGTCTCTTCCTAATTCCAAACTATGCAGTGCTCCCCTGATCTGTTCTCACACCAGCTTATGAATCTGAATTAACTGGTCAGTAAATGGTTTGGTTTCAGTTTATCCCAAGTCAGCATTCATACAGACAATTGTCAGATACTGTATGGACTGTAGATACTTTTAGTTTGAAAGAGAAAGTCTCCTTGTGATGAAATCTTTTCATTCAATAATATCTTTGTACAATGATGCATAAGGCATTGTAATAGGTGCTCAAAACCCAAGTATGTACCCTCAAAGAATACTACCATTGTAGAGAAGAGTAACAACACAAATCATCAAGCACAGAATAAATAGCATAATGTATTAAGTTCTATAGTAAAGGTGGATAGAAAGGATGTTTCCAAGTTAGCCAAGTACAATCCTGGTGGAAGATCATGCTTAGTGAGCATGTACCTGATATTTTCCATTAAATCACTCTGAGTAGTTGTGTATAAATGTCCACATCTCACTCATTGAAATTCTGAGTACTTGTATCTGCTCTGGGATTCTGTATTTTATTAGACATCTTTGGTGTCCTAGTGTAGGAATCTGCCTTGCAATCCACTGGTTTGGAAGCTGGTTTGAATCTACCAAGAGCATTGTGGGAGAAGGATGTGTAGTCTCTTCCAGTGTGATTTACAGCCTCTAAAAACTTGCTGGAGAATCAGCTCCAAGTGGGTCCAACTTGATGGCTCACAACAAAAACAACAACAACAACAAAATGAGCCTTAAATCACAATCAGGCATAAGATTCACTGTTACATTTTTCTAATAGAAAGTTCTGTTTGCAAGTACTTGTTTAGTGATAGATTCTTCATTTTAGCCTCATTTGTACTACAGAGAAATTCTGTGCTAGAAAACATTCTTAGCTCCCTTCAGTATGTGATTAAAATAGAACGTATGGAAATTAAGTAATGGGCCTCAAATATCAATTGGATTGCCTGGGTATTAGATCAGTAGAACACATTTCTATGTTATCTGGCACATGTTGAAATTAGATTACAATTTATATCCAAGCTGGGAATTAATCTTTTCTCTCCTTCACTATAAAGAGTTACAAGATAGGATGTGTCCATTAAATAACAATACTTTGGTACTTTGAGAAATGAGAAAGAGAGAGAGAATATGTGTGTGTGTGTGTGTGTGTGTGTGTGTGCGCGCGCGCGCGCGCACGCGCGCGCGCACCCATTGCTGTCAAGTCAGTTCCTACCCAAAGCAAGCCTAGGATTGATTAGAACTGCCCCATAGAGCTTCAAGGTTGTAAGTCCTTTTTTTAAGAATTGTGACTTAATGAAAGTTGATAGAACTTGATTTTATAGAAATTGATCTTTCTGTTCAGAATTTCATATACATTTTGTGACTGATTATAATCCTCATATTGTAAAAGTACTCTTCCCACATTTTTTTTTTAAATAAAAGTTTTATTTTGTACTGGTTTACTCTCAAAGTTCATACACATTGTTCTTTACACTAGATCTTTCCCATTTCCTTTACCCACCCATGCCTCCATCCATAAAATTGTATGACTTACGACTCATCATCCCCCATTCTCCCCATCTTCACCCCTCTGCTCCCATCATTTGCCTTCCTTGGATCCTCACATACGTTCTACAATAATAGTCTTATCATACAGTATTTCTCGTTATGGGACTGAGTTAGTTCACTCAGCATAATGCTCTTTAGTCCCTCCCAAGTTGAGTAGTAATTTATAAAATCATTACTTCTGCTCTGTTGTGTGAATGTACCATAATTTCTCAATCTGTTCCATTGTGGTTGGACATTTGGGCTGTTTTCATTTTCTTAAAATGGTGAATAATGCTGCTTTGAACATTGGTGTACAAGTGTCTGTTTGTGCCTCAATTCTCACTGTCTTGGGGAATATTCTAAGTAGTGGAATAGCTAGGTCATATGGAATTTCTGTGTTCTGCTTTCTGAGGAAACTCCAGACTGCCTTCCAGACTGGTTGTACCATTTTACAATCCTACTAACAGTACTTAAGAGTTCCTATCTCTCTACATCCTCTCCAGCATTTATTTCTTGCTCTCCTTTTAAACATAAAAAAGTGTAACAATGGTATGGAATTAAGTCTTTGAATTTTATGCTAAGCGCTGCGCTTTCACTATGTCCCAAAGATTTTTACTATTTTTAAATTTTTCTACAACTCACTGGTTTTTTAGTATATTCATTATCTTGTGTCCTGAAAATGGTTTCTTTATTCTGAAGAATGGTCAGTGTACAGTCATATAGAACATATACAGAGGTGCTGTTATCTGGTTAAAATACAGACAAATATGAGTTAGGTCTAACTGGCTGTTAGTCTACAGCATTTAAATCCTTTATTCTGCAAGTATTTGCTTTATAAATTTCAAGGCTCTCACATCAGATATGTAGATTT